CTGGAGGGCTGTGTCCTGTTCTGGGCTCCTCAGGACAAGAGAGACAAGGAGCCACTGGAGAGGGTCCAGCAGAGACCACAAAGGGGATGAGGGGTCTGGGGCATCTCTCTAATGAGGAGAGGCTGGAGCTGGGCCTGGTTAGTTGAGAGAAAGCTGAGAGGGGATCTCATTAATGCTTATAAATATCTCAAAGGTGGGCTAAGAGGACGGTGCCAGAAACTTTTCAGTGGTGCCCAGGGGCAGGATGAGGAGCAATGGCCATAAACTAAAACACAGGAAGTTCCATCTCAACATGAGAAAAAACTTTACATTGAGGGTGTCAGAGCACTGGGACAGGCTGTCCAAGGAGATGGTGGAAGCTCTCCAGACACATTCAAAACCCACCTGAATGTGTTCCTGTGTCACTGCTCCAGGTGACTCTACTTTGGCAGGGAGATTGGACTGGATGGTTTCCAGAGGTCCCTCACAGCCCTAATTATTCTGTTATTCTTATTATGAAAATAATGGATTGTATTTCCTTAAACCATCTAGCAAGTCAAACTCTCTTCTTGTGAATCACTGTTGCTGTTTGGAGCTGTGGAACTTTGCCATGTGCATGACCTATGGGTCTGTCTCGGTGGACTTTGGATCGCTCCTGAGAATCTGGCTCCACTTAATATGAGGACAATTTCCTTTTTTCTGTTGCTTAGCAGGCAAAGATCAGAGTTGGTGGACATTTTTCCCTTCAGAGCAGGTCTTGGTAGGTTTCTTGTACAGCTTTTTACAAAATGGGCACAGACCCACCAAGTTTTGCATCTAATTTTGTTCTTAGGTAGTAGTTGGTGACAGGTTTTCTCAGAACAGTCTCTTAAACTCACAACAAAAGCCTTGCAACTCACAATGTATCTTACACTCATCTGTCAGCTTATATGATTCAGAAGTTGTGAAGCTGGGAGGTTTTTACTTCCTTTTGAAGGTGAGTACTGTACAATCATCCTGTGTACTTATCTTCTGAGCATCTGCTTGGAAAATAAAACAACGTGCCATTTTGACATCCAAGAAAGTGCTATAAAAAGTCTGTTGCTATGTTTAAATGCCTATACTCAGTTGCTATAGCAATAAAAATATCAAAAATGATGTACGAATTGCCACAGTGCATTACCAGCCCTTTCCTGGACAGGGAGCTTATGGGACTGACAATGTGACAGAGGTGCTCAGTGTGTTGAAAGCAGAGTTGCTGCATAGTTCCAGGTGCCCTGTGGTGTCACCCGAGAGCAAAATGTGTCCCAACTGTGTGAATCCCAAACTGGCTGGGTCAAACAGAGCAGTTGGGTCCCTGCTGAATTTAGCTGCTTCTTCACGACTTGTATGTTGAATATTTGGACCAAGCTCCCATTTCTCTGCAAGACAGGCTGCTGAAAATGTTGACCTTTCTCTAAATTCCTTCAGTCCCATGATAGCAAGTGTGAGAATCAGCTTACAGACTGCATCAGCCCATGTAGATTTTTCTCTCTGTAACACCCCAGTGGTCAGTGTAAAATGTCCTTGTTCCTGAGGCTGTTATGGGAACACTGCTATCCAAAAGAAAAGAAATTAAATAGTAGCTAATGGAATCTTTAGCATCTCTGTGGGGCTCAAAGCCTTGAACATTCAGTTGCTTCTCAAAGAGAGCAGGAAATGCAGCTTCCTTCATAAAACATAGCAAGCAGATGAAAGCATGTTATTCTGGCAACTGTAAGTTTGGTTATGGAATTGAATTGTTTCCTCAGACATTTCTATGCCTTGTTCTCTTGTCTCCTGAGGAATGTTAGAGGAAAGACTTGGAGAAATTGAGGCCTTGTTTGAAAGCAAAATACCTGTCTCTATTTATTTCAGTTAGCTTGAGGAACCCTCAAGTTTCAAATGAGATTGGCTCAAACTGCAGAACAGTGTGCAGGCCAATTTGCATATGGTAATCCACAACAGTCTCATAATTGTTTCAAGTATCTTCTTTAACATACTCTTAGAAGTCCAGTTGAGAGGTCTGATATCAAGGATGTTTCAGTGGTAGAGACATATTTTTAATTTTTGTTTCAGTTGTTATTTGTTGATTAATGCTCTTTATCAAGGGTGTTATAAATATGTAGATGAAGTGATTCTTTGAGGCAACTATGATACTCTGTAGTTTGAAGGCCTACTTAAATTCTGCCGTACCTCTAAGCACATTTGGGTTTTTTTTATTTTTCAAAAAAGCTGGATAAACTACTGCCATGTACGTGGATCACCGTTTTCTCAAAATAAGGGTTGCAATGTTGCATGCATAGTTGTACCCTTCTCATTTCTACTAGCTTGTATTTGCAATCTCAGTACAGTATTTTTCTATAACAAATCTTGATTCATTGATCTTTAGGATTTAATTGTAATGTTTCTATTTTGGTTTCAAGTGTTGAAAAATGTGACAATTTGTAGCTTTACAGCTGCACAAACTCCAGTGACTGTGGAAGCATGTGTCTTTCTCAACCTCTGTGGGGATTCTTTGTTTACTTTCCTACTCAACAGTTCCACATGGAGTACTGGACAGTTACCTGCATTTATCCTTAAACAAGAATGTCAACAGCACTGATTGTGGGTTTGGTTTGTGGTTTTTGCTTGGTTTTGTTTTTGGTTTTTGGTTTTTTTTCCCAGATCTAATAGGGGAGTCCAAATGTTAGATCCATAAATATTTATTGATACTTGTTTATTAAAGTCCTGTGTGATTAAAATTCCAAAGGTTATCGTTTTATGTCAAGCTTGGGAGGTGTTTCTGTGGCTGCACATTGTGTGCCTGTAAAACCAGCACATCTGCTCTTCATTTACAATATTGTAATTTTAATGTTGAGAATATGTGATCACATGAATGATTTACTTGGGGAAGGGGAGAAGACAACAGAGGAGATATGTGGAACTTAAAAACTGTGGCTTTTATTTTTCATGATGCTGTCAAATACTTGAAACAAACCTGGTTTCCCTTAGAACTGTGTCTATAGCACCCTCACCACAGTTGTTAGGACACCACTTTATTCTGTATTTCTAAGCTATTGTATATAGTCTCTGTTTCAGAGACTGTACATGTGAATTTGCATCTGCCATGGAAATACAAACTTCCTGATATCTGCCAGTTCCTGCATCAGCTTAGCTTGAAACTCATCAACAGCTTATGGCAGTGCAGGAGGAAGAGGGAGACTTGAACACACAACATTAGCTACATAAACTTCTTTCTAGAGAAAAAAGTATTACATGGCTATTGTTTAGAGACAAATTTTTCTTTATTTTGTCAAATAGCCTTCTTTAAGGTTAGCTACGCATTTATTCTTTCCAAAATCTATTTTTGGTGTTGTTTTCCTTGGACTACATCTTATGCTGTTACTCTGGTTTTCAGCCAACTATCTTTCCCCCTTCTTCTCTGCCCTCCCTTCATTCCCTCCCAGTACCCTTTGAACTTGTCCGACTTGTTGAATTTGGCAGGAGAGGATTGCAGAAGTATTACACTCTTACAAGTGAAAATCAGTGGTTTGGTACGAAGGGACAGACCCAGCTTAGTGCTGCTAGGAGGAAAGGCTCCACTATGAGCTGAAATTATCACTGATTCTCTTTAATCTGCCAGCTGGCAACCTGGCATGTGTGAAGCTTAAAACCAGGCACAGCAAATGCTGTCTCTTGGCTCTCCAGACTGGTAGGAGACTAGGAGACATGTAAGCTTGCTATGAGGGAGATAAGACTCAAAATCATCAAAATAAAATATCCAAAGAACAGGTTTTGATAGCTCATCTGCTTAGAAACAACCCATTTCTTAATGTAGGGAGACACAGGTCACTAAATGGTCTGTTTGTGCACTGCTATCTTTATTTTGGAAAAAAGTTCATAAATATCTGTGTAACAGATCGTGAAAGCTGCAGGCTGATAACTCCTGTGATTTCACACCAAGTTCTAATAGTTGGTGGCAGTCCATATGTTTGTCTACTTTCCAAAGTGGTGCAGAGCACTGTTAGTTTGTAACACACACCCTCATCTATTTTGCAGATTTTTCCATCCAGGCTGCAATGCCTAAAATGAAAAGATTTGAGGTTTCTGCACTCTTTGGGAACAGGCTATAGACTCTGCTCAGCCTGCTCTTTAGGCATGTCAGTCAGGTTCATGGGAATGTTGTTAGTGGACAGGTTCTTCCCATGGCAAGTAAATGTCAGCCATCCGGGTTCTAATTCAACCATTCTAATTAGACTTTCCTTATGCAACAGATGTTTTGAAGTTCAGCCAGGGAGAATAAAGTAATACCCAGAGACAGCAGCCCTTATCTGCTTTCTGGTCATTTAGAGAAGGCAGCTGGGGCTCAGAAATCTGTTCCCTGAAAATTTCCTTGCCTCTGAAGTGGCTTCTCCTCCATTTATGTCCTTTTGTGTATGTTCAAGGTCACCAGACAAAGCTCTAAGGCTGATGAAACTCATCATGAATGCTGCTTACTGGGACTCACTACTTTATGTGCCCTTTATGTCACCCATCATAGGTTTAGGGCTTTGCTTAGTTTTTTAATATATAGCAAAATACTGCTGTCTTTCTCTGAAGATTTGGAGTATGCAGATATTTGGTTTATGGATGAGGAGTATTTTTGTTCTCCTTTTTTTAAAATAACATTGGGAAAACCAGCAGCACTAAACAGATGCTCCCAAAATAAGATCTTGTGATCCTGTTAAAGAACTCCCCTTCTGTCTTCCTTCAGCTCACTTCAGTAGTTTCTAGAGATCCTTTTTGTCAAAGTAAACTCCAGTAAAAAATGGTAGAATGAGATCTCATTTGCTCTAAAGCAAACCGACTGCACACTTTGTTTCTGTTACTCACTGGTTTGTTATTTTGTGATTATTTGAAAGAAATTAACCTGTGGTAACATCCTGTTTTCTTTCTTTGGCTCATCATCTGTTTGGAAGGAGTTGCTCATTTTGCTTGAACAAACAAAAAAATCCCACCCTATTCTATCTAGAATTAAATTTGTTTCTTTATGTTTAAAACAGGAAGCTCCTGCCTACAGCATTCCAGCCATCAGCCTGCTGAATATTCATTATCCTTTCTTCACCTGTGCTGCAAGGCACTATGCTCACCATGAGAATTCCAGACCTTGAGTTCCTCTGATAGGTAATAAGCTTTCTGCTTGCATTTTACATTTTACTTCTGTTATTTGAAACAGTTGGGTTAATTTCTCATTTGTGGGTCTCATCCAGTGCAGTGAGTAAGGAGCCCTGTACACAGGAGAGTTGCATGTCAGTTGTTATTCTGACAATTTTTAGCAGATTTCAGTCTTTTTTCTTAATTAACATATATTTTGATAATTTGCTCGTTTTTAAAATAAATGCTATTTTATAAAAAAATTTAATTAAACTGTTCAGTAAAAGTTATGGATGGGGTCATAGGCATATGAAAACCTAAAAAAATATTTGTAGAAGATAAAAAAGATTGCTGGATTGCCTAACTAGTATCTAAAAAGCTATATATTTTTCCATAACTATCAAACATCATTCCACTCAACTGAATGCTCCACCTAGATGGATGTTCATAAAGCTCAGGATGTAACTTTGCATTCTTGGTGACTGGAAGTGCAGTGTGCTTCGGGTATGTGACAAAAGTGGGATTTAGTTTAGCAGTGCAAGAAATGAGGCAACTGCTTTTGGATAACACAATGAGTTTTACTGCAGTGAATTTAATCATTGGATCTTGCCTGAAGCAGGATTTATTCCACAGTACCAACATCTGATAAACAGTTCAGGTGAAGAAACAAGACCAGTGGCCAATTTCAATTTAGTGCATTTTTGATAATTTCTTCTTCACAGTAATGGGTCTTTGCTCTATTGGCAAGTGCTTATTGGAAAGTGATGAAGAATTACATTCACAGTATTTTGAATGCTCTGAGGTTCTTAAAATGAAAAAAAACCCAAACAAAAACCAAACAAGCGAAAACCCCAATCTTTCCCAAAATATTTGTAGGACACAGCGAAAGATGTGTCATTATACAGTGAAGAACCAGATCCCTTGAGGGGGTCAGAACTGAACTGTTGTATCCCTCACTTTCTTAAGCTTATGGTTCCATTATTTTCTGCTGCATTTGTGCTATGAAATAATGTTCTAAATGGGTGAAATTTAATGTTCTAGTCAGTTAATAAGATTAAATAATGTACCAGTGCAAAGCATATTCAGCATGTTTCCAATATTCAGACCTTCCTCAGGAATATTAACCCATCACAGTAAAAGCTGCAGCTGGACATTTTGTGAAGTAAAGTGAACAAGGTACTGCCTGTCTTTGCAGATAAACCTGACTAGAACAATTGTGTGCCTTACTAATGCCTGACTTTTGAGTTGGTACAGTTGAAGAAATACAAATGAAGACAGAGTATGAACCTAATGAGTGAACTAAATAAAATTCCATTACTCCACCCTGCTTCAAAAAATGAAGAAAATTAAATTTTTAATGCCAAAAACACTGATATAATGTCACTAGTAACTCTATAGCTGAATATTCATGAAGCTCTGCAGTATGTTCACTTAAGTTACTGATTGTGATCCAAACAAGCTGTGTGGTTCAAATTTGCTTTTTGCTTCACCTCAGCTCAAAAGCATGCTTAACACATATTTAGAATTGAAGTGGATTTTTTCTGTGTATGATAGAAAAGTGAGGTGCCATTTACCCAGGCTGGCAAATAAATTGTTATGGAAAGTACTGTAGTTACCCTGTTTGTTTATATTCTAGAATTCATTGTTTCTTCAGAAAATTATTTCTGATTTAACTAGATAATGAGAATTTTAGAAAAAAATCATAGCTGGCTCTAACTTTAACAAAAACACATAAATGACATGTTCACTTAGTAACTTTATCCTCTTTGTTCTGAAAAAATATACTTTTTTTGTTTTCAACAAGGTTAAAAACATAACACTTGGAGGAAAAACTTAGAAAATTAATTTGTAGGTTGTCTTTAAGTGCCATGGAAATTCAAATAAACATTGTTCTAACTAAGAAAAATTAACAACAAAAAAAGTGTGTTAGAAAAAAATATTTATATGCCTTAGAAACATTTTCAACACAATCAGACATCATCTTATTTGCACAGATCAAACAGTACCATTGATATTAATTTATGTTAAATAGATTTAAATTATTTTTTTCATATGTATGGACATATATTTTATTTATTAAACTATCTTGGCAATTGTTACTTGTTTGTAGTCAGCTTTTGGGTGTAAAGAAGAAATGAAGGGAAGATGTGAAAAAAGATGAGTGAAACATACATTAAATGTTTCTAGAAAACCTAGAAACTCTAGTTCTAAGTTCTAGCTTTCTATTTCTCTCATTTCTTTACATCTGCAAGAAAAAATATTGGGAAGATGATTTCCTAATTACTGCAGCCTAGGATTTGGATAGAAGAGAACATTAATATAGTGAATTAAGATTTTAATTCTTAAGAATTTAATTTCTTAGGCAATATAATTGAGAATTAAGAGAAGGATAGAAGCTGTCTCTCTTTAGCTTACTATTCCTTCCACTGCCCCAAGCAAATTTTTTGGAAGGTAATCTGAAGCAAGTCACTTCAGGAAAAACATTATATAAAAAAACATTCATTGTAACCTAATGAAGTTTGTCTCCCTGGCCTTCCCTGCAGTCATCTGAGAAGTGAAAGGTTCCTGTAGAATGCAATTCAGAGAGCCTAAATTAAATTCCTGATTTTAGGACAGGAACTTAAATTGATTCAAAAGCAAACAAAAAACCCAAACCAAAGTAACAGAAAACTTCAGGAGACAAATGGCCTTAGGCTAAAGTGAGTCCTCATGAAAAGTTCCCTTTGTACATATTCTCATGCTTCTCAGTCTGTTGAAGGCAAGTGGTATTCTTGATGACATAGTATTGAAATGATGGACAGAATGAAATGGGTCTAGGCTCTTCTTTTTGTCTTGATCCTTCTCCACAGAGAACATCAACTTTGGTGTTACTGGTTTTGGTAGGAGCACTTGAAAGAGATCTTAGATCAGCATTTAGCAATTGTGTCCAGCCATATCCAAACTGATGAATGTTTGAATGAAAACAGCAATTTCAGTCAACAAGTAAAAGCAGCTATCTGCATTGTCTGTGAGACAACAATTGCTTCCTCAGCTTATCAAGTTTTGATTTCTTTAGATCAATTCTAATAACTATAATAGGATTAATGCAAAGGTGGTATTCAGTTTAATTGAATTGATAAAGAGACACAAGCAAACTAGATAAAGTTTCATAATGGTTATCAAATCTCAATGCCTTAGGCAAAACTGAGCTTGAGATCTTCAAAGGGAAGAGGGATGCTGAGGTGAAAATTTGGCTTTTGGGTGTTGGAAGAACTGTTTGTCATGTTCCTTTACTTACCTGTACTCCCAGGATTCGATATTGGGAAGCTTTCCCTGCTTAGTCCTGTTCTGCAAGGCATACAATGGGAGGACAAGGTATGGCCTGCCAAGGTTAAAGATATAATTGTGGTGAAGAAAAACAGCATATGGAAAACTTGCAGGTTTAGAGGCAAACAAAATGTACAGTTTGTCTCTTCAAAGTAGAGAGTGGAAGCTTTGATTGGAAGCTTGTCTCTTTCTGTAGTGAGTAGAAGCTTTGATTGTGCTTTGTGGAAAAGAGAGTAGGTTTCTTAAAAAATTTGCTAGACAAGAATGAAAAGTAGTTTGTTTTGATCTTGTGCATCTGTGATGGAGAATCTAGCCATAGTGAATGAAAACTTGTAATGATATATATTATCTCTTTGTTGTTAAGGCAACCTTATTGTGGAATTTCTGTTAGAGATTGAGTTCACTAGGTACACACAGGAAATAATACAGTGTGAAATAACTTTTAGAGTTGTGAAGTCATGTGGCCTTTTTCAAGGTTTTAATATCTCAGGGTGGGAGGTCACCCATTGTATCTTAGACCAAGCTTATATTTTTGTTTTTTACATTTCTTTGCCTACTAAAACTTGATGTTCATACTGGCTGAACTAGTAATAAATATTAGGGGAAGAGAAGAGATATTCCAAGCTGCTGTACCAGAAAATGGTTTTATTCCTACTGCTGTATATTCTGTAAGAGAAAACCAGTGGGAGTGCAAGAGCATCTTAAGACATTTCCCCAGTTTGTTTATTATTATTCTCATGTTTTTTCTGACTCAGTCACATGTGACAATTTAGGACCAGGAGTGTAGGCAGCACTATACAACTGAATATATGTGACAGGGAGAGGTGTCTTCTCAAAATACAAAAGATACATTTTAGCAGTGAGAACAATCATTCACTGGAACAACCTGCTCAGGGATGTGGTAGTGTCCCCATTGCTGGAGGTTTTCAACATCCAGTTAGAGAGGATGCTGAATAATCTCATCCAGGCTCCCTTTCCCACAAAGGGTTGGGCAGATCAATCTTTCAAAGTCCCTTCCAACCTGGGCTGTTCTGGGATTCAGTGATAATAAATAGGAAAAAGTTGAAGAACAACAACAATACTTTGTAATTGAGAGCTGTGTAAACCTTCGTGCCAGTCTCGGCTTCTCGATTTTCTGGAAGTTTCTATATTGATTTGCACCTTTGTACTTTGCACTTGATTTGTGTCTTCTGTTAAAAGGTATTGAAGACAAATGGGATTTTCTTCACAGGCCCATGAAATTGGGAATGTCCTTTAGTGTGTGCAAGCAAATGTGCCTGTGTGTCTAAGACTGCAAAGTTTGAAAAGTGCTAGTTTACTGTCATTTCTCCTGTGAAATTCAATTCTTTCTCTATGATGCATCTTAAAGAACTGAAAACACTTTCAGTGACCTGCCACCTAAATAGCCTCTTACAAACATTTGAAGATTGCTCATCTGCAAGAATCTAAAACGTGACAAAGCATGGAGGTGCCAGACATTCTTCAGACTGAGATATGTTTACTTCTTCATGGAAGCTGCTTAGGAATCCAGCACAGTGTCCTCCTGGATCTTAGTCCTGGCTGTGGTCCTAGCATGTACTGTTTGTATTAACTAGAAGAATGTAAGAAAAAGTCCTTTTCTCCTGTTGCTTTCTTCTGCCTGTTGTTCTGTCCATCCATTTCTTCAGCATTGCCAATTACTCATGATGGACAAAAAGGAATTTTTCCTTTGTTTTCTTTCTCAC